ATTATTATCATTATTTTATTATTATTATTATTATTATCATTATTATTGTTATTATTATCATTATTATTGTTATCATTATCATTGTCATTATTATCATCATCATCATCATCATCATCATCATCATCATCATCATCATCATCATCATCATCATCATCATCACCATCATTATTATTATTACCGCCATTATTGTCTTCGTCATGATCATCACATTAGTATATGTTTTTTTCAGGTTTTATTTAGTTGTTTTCTGTTAATACTTGATTCTCTCTCTCTCTCTCAGATGAACAAAAGATAAAAAAAGATGGAAATTAACATAATGGAAATTAAACGGTTTCTCTTTATTGTTGCCTTTATCCCGCTGTTATCATCGCCAACGCCACTTCCCCCCTTTCTTCTCTTCACGGCTACCTCTTCGCTGTCTCCTCTGACCTACTTTCGGGTCTCTTCATTTTTCTTTTCACCCTTTTTGTAAAATTCCCCTCGATTGTTTTTTTTTATTATTATTTATTTCATAATCATTTTTTCCATCTTGCTCCATCTCTTATTTTCCATCTTTTTACTTTTTTTTCTTCGTCGTTGTTGTCGTCGTCTTCCTCCTCCTACTCCTTCTTCTTCTTCCTACTCCTACTCCTTCTTCTTTTCTTCTTCTTCTTCTTCCTTCTCCTTCATTTCCTCTTCTTCTTCCTTCTCCTTCATTTCCTCTTCCTCGTCCTCCTCCTCCCTCATTATCGTTTTCCTCTTTGTCTCCTCTTTCTTTTCTCTCCTTCCTCCTCTCCTGCCTCCCTCGTTTGTTTCCTAAGTTTAGCTTCTGATTACTTCCCTCTCTTGTTTTTTTTTCTCCTTTCCCCGGTATCCTTCAAAGCGTATCCTTTGCCTTTCTTGTTATTCCTGTTCCCCTCTTCGTTCTCGTCGTCTTTTGGTTTCCTTCTCCTCTCTCTGCTTTTCCCAGTCACCTCTTTCCTCTTCCTCTTTCCTCCTCCCTCCCTTCCCGTCAACTTTCGTCTCCTTTCCCACCCTTTTTGGCCTGTTACTTCTCTCTTTCCTACTTCCTGTCCTTTACCTGTTTATCTGCTGCCCCTCCACCTTCTGCTCCTCTCCCCTTCCTCTCCTCCCTTCGTCCTTCTTCTTTCTCTTTCTCCATTCCCTTTCTTTCTCTTCTGTTTTCTCTCTCCATTTCTTTATTTCCTTTCCCACTCTCTCTCTCTCTCTCTCTTCTTCTCTCTCTCTCTCTCTCTCTCTCTCTCTCTCTCTCTCTCTCTCTCTCTCTCTCTCTCTCTCTCTCTCTCTCTCTTACTCTCTCGCTCTTTATCTATCTTTCTCTCTCTTTCTCCCCCTATCTTCTTCTCCTCCTTCCTTTTTTCTTATACATTTTTCCCTTCTCCCTCCCCCTCTCTTTACCCCTCGTTCAGTTTCTTCCTTTCCCCTCTCCCATCTTTATCCCTCTTCCCTATCCCCTCTTTCCTCCTTTTTTCCTCGCTTCCTCTCCTCTCCTCTCTTATTCTTATTCTACTTTCTCCCTCTCCCCTCTCCTCCTCTATTTAACTCCCTCCCTCTCCCCCTCCCCTTCTAACCTGTCTCACACCGCGTCTTTAATACACCCGAGGCCCTCCCCCCCCCCCCCCCCACCCCCACCCGCCAACACCAACCCGACTCATCAACATAAAATATTCTAGCACGAATCCCTCTTGTTGGTGAGGGGTTGTGTGTGTGAGGGGAAGGGTGGGGGGAGGGAGGGGAGGGAAGGGGAAGGGAAGGTATTGAGTGGGGAAGGGAGAAGGATAGCAGGAGAGGGGAGGGTGGGAGGGAGGAATGCGTGGGGAGAGGATAGGAGGGACCGAGGGGAGGGGGGTGGGAGGGGAAAGGGAGGAGGGGAGTCTTGTCTCTCGCTTGTAGTGGAGATGTTCCTCAGGCGGACGTGTGTGATGGGCTGCGTCTGGGAAGGAAGGGGAACTGTGTGCGTGTGTGTGTGCGTGTGTGGCGTGTGCGTGGTGTGCGCGCGTGTGCGTGTGTGTGCGCGTACGTGTGTGTGTGTGTGCGTGCGCGCGCATTTTTACATGTTTGTATGTCTGTGTTTGTTGAAAATGAGTGAGAAAGATTTGTTAAGATTTACATGCCCTGTGTACATGCCCAGCAGAAAGCCAGGGTAAGATTCTAAAGCATCTATATATATGTATATATATATAAGCCTAAAGGGATGTGCCATCGTCACTGTCTTATTAAATATCAGCTGGTTGATGAAAAACATGCCTTGTATAATATCACTAATCATGTCAGAGACAAAACCAGTGTCTGTAATAAAATTAATGGAATCAGTAAGTGCTAATCTGTGGAAAGTTCTCCTTGATCGATAGGAGACAGTTTTGCCAACAAAGTAAGCAATTGGTAAGATTATGTGACTTGGACGCCTTGCATGCTGAAATGAAACTGCTTTGCCTCCAAAACTGTATCCTGTACAGTGCTTAGTAGTATACTGATATTCTATTGACTTTATATGGTTTGTCTATATCAGATGTCCCAGCAATATTCTCATGATGCCAGATACAAGGTGTCACTGCTGCTCACTACCTTTCCTACTGACATGTCATATGGCTACTGACTACGGAAATATGCTGTTTGATTGGGTTGATTATGAGACCAAGGGAAGCACATGTTTTGCTGAACCTCTGAAGAGCATAATTCCCCTGTCAAACGTCTGAATTAGAATGTCATCGGCATAGGATGTGATGCTACTTAAGTTACCAAACTCAATGTTCATCTTGCAAAGAGACTACACAAGTATATTTAACGGTGTAGGGGACAATACCCTCCTTGTGGAGTGCCTAATTCTGATATGCTATATGCACTGCAGGTGCCTTTGACTACACTTTTGCTCTTCTCAAAGAGGCTTTCCCTTAATTCCAAAAAGTGTTATTTCAAGGGGAGGCTCTGTCGAATGCTCCCTTGAAATCTAGTAAGAAGACTGTACATTACTTTTATGTAGGTGTTGTGCTAAACACATTTGTGTTTCTTTCCCTTTTGGGAAACCAAAGACTGATGGATGAATTTGACCTTTGATCTGGCGGAGTAAACGAGTAGGGAGAAACTTTCACAGGTTTTACACAGACAGGATGTCAGAAAAAAGGGTCTATATTCATCAGGCCGCCCTGGTTTAGGGATGGGAATGACGGTTGCTCGTTTCCAAGCAGTAGGCAAGATGCCTGCTGTGTTGGTCAAGTTGAAGAGATCAATAAGAGGATTTCTTCCCCTTACCTATACCTTTGCCAGGAGTCGGGTGATGATAAAGTGAGTCCATCATCCCCAGGTGCAGTAGATTTGCTAGGCTTAATGGCTGCAAAGAGTGGTGCATCGGCCTCTTCTAAAAGTTGGACCTGATAGTTAATTTCGCTTTTCTAATTTGATTTAAGAGAGCACCTGCGCATGAATAATGGAAGATGATCAAGAGAAGTCCTCACACCATCTCTTGAGGAGAGATGAGGCTACCCTTTTTAGATGTCGGCGGGTGTTATACTGTATGTATTGCCTTTAATCCTTTCCTACATTATCCACGGAGTCAATTGCTTCTGCCCAGACATAAAATCTTTCCTCCCGTTTTGGAGTTAGTATCTCATTGATATTTTTACTAAAACACGAGATCCCAACAAAGTCCGTTTTTTCCCCAAGTTGTTGTAGCTGACTTACTGTAGATCGCATGAACCTTCTAAGAAGTTTCATGTAAGAAAATTCCCCTCTGGCTTTTAGGTTGTAGCAGATTAATGATATTGCCAATTTGTCGACAGAGTTTTATTAAAATGATCAGGGTTAGTAGGTGTAAAGTCTTCATACCATCAGGCAGTCTTTTTAATGAATTCATCATGATATTTAGTGGCAAGATAGTATCGAAGGCGTGGCTGGGGTGAGAGAGAGAGAGAGAGAGAGAGAGAGAGAGAGAGAGACAGAGAGACAGACAGACAGACAGACAGACAGACAGACAGACAGACAGACAGACAGACAGACAGACAGACAGACAGACAGACAGACAGACAGACTGACAGACAGACATACAGATAGACAGTCAGCCAGCCAGCCAGCCAGCCAGTCAGTCAGTCAGTCAGTCAGTCAGTCAGTCAGTCAGTCAGTCAGTCAGTCAGTCAGTCCGAGGCAGGCAAAAAGCGAGACCGAGAGAGAGAGAGCGGGAACACCAGCGACACAGAGAGAGTTCCGAGACACACACACAACAGGAAAACCCAAGAGTCGCGCAATAGAAATAAGACACAAACAAGAAGCAGCCACAAAGAGGAGGGCAGGGAGGGGGGGGGCTAGAAGGGCACGGGAAGGGGGGGGGGGGAGGGGAGGCCGTGAGACCTCGACTCCAGTTAGTGGAATACGAGAAGGGAAGGGGGAGGGGNAAGATGGGGTGGAAGTATTGGGGTAAAAAGGAGACTGAAATGGGCAAGAGGGAGAGGCGAGGTTGGGGGGATTGAGGGTTGGGGAGGGAGGGGGGGGATAAAGATAGGAGGTCGATAGAAAGATATTTAAAGATAGAGAGAGAGAGAGAGAGAGAGGCAGAGATAGATAGATAGATGAAAAGATAGGTAGACAGATAGATGAAAAGATAGATAGATAGAGATAGAGAAGGGGGGCTGAGGAGGGAAGAGATTGGGTTGGAGATAGATATAGGGAGATATAATGATAGAGAGAGAGAAAGAGATAGATAGATGAATAGAGAGATAGATGAAAAGACATATATATATATATATATATATATGGTAGGTTTTCCATGGAAGAAACGTCCGGAGGTTTCAACAAGACGTGGGAAGTGGGTTTTCAATAGGCCTAAAGAAAAAAGGGAGAGAGGAGGAGAGGAAGAAAGATAGGGAGAACAAGAACGAGAGAAAAGGGGAAGTGTGTATAGAAAGAAATATGTAAAGGGAACCAGCTGGATAGATGGATAAGTAAATAGAAAGACGGATAGATGCAGACAGACAGATAGACAGAAAGAATAACGATGGAGCTGGAGATAGAGATAGATAGATAGATAAATAGATAAATAGGTAAAGAGGAAGAGAGAGAAATAAAAGAAAGAAAGAGAAACCGAGAGACTGAGACACAGGGACAAAGAGAGGGACGGGAAGAAAGAAGGAAAGAAAGAAAGAAAAAAACACATTTAAAAGCAAACCGGAAGACAAGAAGAAATAAAGAAAACGAACAGACAGTCGGGTTGACAGACAGGTTGTCAAGCGGCAAAACTGACTGACTGACTGAAAGCGAAAAAGCGTTTGCAGTTAGTATTAATTGACATTAAACAGTGCAGCAGAAGTTCAAAGCAGAAATTTCCATTCTCCCTCCCTCCCCCTCCCCCTTTCTCCTCTCCTCTCCCTCCACCATTTCCTCGCCCCTCCCCCTTTNAGAGAGAGAGAGAAGAGAGGAGAGAGAGAGAGAGAGAGAGAGAGAGAGAGAGAGGAGAGAGAGAGAGAGAGACGAGAGAGAGAGAGAGAGAGACAGACAGACAGACAGACAGACAGACAGACAGACAGACAGAAGAGAGATGTATATGTATCATATTATATATGTATAAATAGAGATATAGATTTGTGTGTGTATGTCTATGTATACCCATAAAATCCCACACATAACCACAGGAAGAGAGAGCCAAAGAAAAACAAAAAACAAAAAAAAAACAGTAACCCAACGCTAGTTCCCGCCCACCCCACCCCCTACCCCAACACACCCTACTCCCCACCCCCACCCCCCACGCCATCTCCTCCCCCGCCACGCCCATCCCCCGCCCGCGACACCCACCATTCTCGTCTCTCCTTTTGAAGTTGATCTCGATGCCGCCCTCCTCGTCCGATTCGTCCCGCATTGGCAGCGGCACGAGCAAGTTCAGCGACTCGTCCGAAAGGTTGAGGTTCGTCCCGTTCTGAAAGGGGGGGAGGGGAAGGGGAGGAGATTAGTTTTGATGTTTGTTTGTGTTTTGGGGGGGCGTTTTTGTGTTGGGGGGGGAGGGTGGTTAAAGGGTTGTTTGGATTGTATAATGGAGTGTGTTTGTTTATTTGTGTGCGTGTGTGTGAGTGTGTGTGTGTGTGTGTGTGTGTGTGTGTGTGTGTGTGTGTGTGTGTGTGTGTGTGTGTGTGTGTGTGTGTGTGTGTGTGTGTGTGTGTGTGTGTGTTGTGTGTGTGTGTGCGTGCGCGGTGTACGAGTGTGTGTGTGCAAGTGTGTGTGTGTAGCGTATGTGTATATGCGCATGTGTATGCACATACAATATTCTACATACATACATGCCCGGGTATAAGACAATACACTACTATATAAGGCTGATACACTCGACAATCTTCATAAAATTTCAACCAATATGCCAAAAAGATTCGCCAAAACCAACAGCACCTGAACCACTCACCTCGCCAACCAAGGTGATCTTCCTCGTGGGCGAAGCGGAACCTTGCAGGGTCATCTGGGTCGAGGACGACATCCTTGACGAAGACCTCAGCTGGCTTGGTCGTCTCTTCATCTGACGAATTGACACCGTGCTTCCTATAATCACAGAGATGCTGTTATTGTTACCGTGACTTCAGGCAAGTGACGTCACGAGTGGAATATGATATGGTTTATTTATGACGTCGAGATGGTCTCTTATATCTTTTCTTTTTCTTGTTTTTGTTACATCTTGTCGTAAATATGGTACATCGCATTTTTTTATCCACTCAAATACCACGATAGGCTTGGAAACGTGCTCTTTTTTGCATGATTCTGCAATTCGTGTACTTCGATTAATAATTCGTTTGCAACAATTCTGCAAACTTTACCAATATTCTGTATTCACAACGGCAATATTCAATATTCAAATTTACCAGTAGCGTTATCTCGTATATTTGTCCTCATATTCGTTTGCATAATAGTCAGCATAGCCATTCAGACAATATATTTCCTTATGATAAGTAACCACCAAAATAATTTTATAATAGAAAAAAAACTGCGAATGTTTTGCATGATGATTTTGTTTGTAAAAAAAAGGGGAAAGTTAAAAGTTTTATCGTAATGTTCCTTTTATTTATTTGTTTGGTCCGTTTCGTTTCCTCTCCGTTATTTTCCTTGTTTGTTCTTGCCTGTTGTGTCACTCATTCTTTTCGTAATTGATGGTTCTTGTACTGAACCGTTTTAACCAATTTAATTTACCAATTATTTCAATTTTTAACCAATTTATTTCAACCTTGCGTGTAAAAGATTATCAGTTTTATCTATATCCATTTCCTCTTATCTTTACCTTGTCCATTTTACATCAGTTTCACATTTTTTTCGAACCTGTTGGATATTATCCTGAAGTGTACTACCCTCTTTCCTGTTACGATTACTACCATATCCACATACCCAGCCATACCCTGTTGGATGAGTGTTATTCTCGTTTTGTTTCGTTTTGTTTCGTTTTCACATAGTACTGATCTGCTTCTTGGTCTACCAGGCGGGTGTCAAAGAGAGCAATACGCATAAAAATGATTAATAAATGATAGATAAATAGATAATAGTTAGGATAACGCTTTTACCCTAACTAGCACAGGATTTAACAACATAACTGTTGCATGTCGTAGTTTGGGATTTTTTGTTGTTGTTGCAGTTTGTATTTGTATTTCTTTCTATGTTTTTTGGCTTATTTTTGGTGTCTGTTTGTTTGTGTGTGTGTGTGATAACCATCCTTTGTTCTGTCTTTGTCTGAAGGTATTTTTGCCGTCAATCTGTTTGTTGTTTGTTTTGATTAACGATCGTTTATCAGTCTAGAGAATGAATGAATAATGAATATCGTTTTGATTTACACTTTCATTTCGTGGAGCAAAAGAAATACTCATATTAAATATAAAAAAACAATACAATAAATATTAATTAAGGTAATTTTACGCTTGGTAATTAGGGCCTTGATAGATATCATTTAATTACAATAGGATCTAAGTAAACACCATTTTGGTATAATATTTCAATTGGATGTAATGAACCGTTTTACAGGTGGATGGACATCAGAGACAAATTAGAAATACCTCAAACCAATCACACTAGAAATGAATAATTGATTCACATTAACATTTGAAATTAGCATACATATACACTAAAAAAGGGGGCATTCATCATATGACAGTGGAATACATATGTTGCATTGCCAAAAGGATTTTCTAATAAGATCTTTCAGATTCTCTTTAATGCTGTAGATCTTTTGCATATCCTAAATAACATTCTACACGTATTAAGGTTTTGATTATTCATATATGTGGCACAACTACGAAGGACATCGAGTGGTCAAGATCATTACCCAAAGGAGAAATACCGTTGTTAACAGGAGCAAACGATAATGGTATGTTAACGGTAAGAGAGGTACTACAGGAAGGAGGCGCTGACGGCAATGTTTCGGGAGTAAGGTCATATTTCCAAGAACAGGTGGTCAGCGGAGGAAGAACAGGTGGCGAAGGTACGGGAGTGGCCACCTGTGTAGCCGCTGATCCAGTATCCTGAAGTGGGTCGTCCTGAACACCGGAAATGGAAGGACCTAACTGCAGCCTCCGGAGTGGACGGCATCGCCCACGGGAGCAGCCGGCAGCCCAGGGGTCGCTCGCGGAACGGCAGGAAGAGCTAGATTCGCCTGAGGAGCAATTGCCTGAGGTGGAGGCGCTCGCGAAACGATCGGAAGCGGAACGTTTACTAAAGGTACTGGAACGTTTACCAAAAATTGTAACGGCCGTCAGCAACGTGTTGTGTTTTGGTGAAACGTTTGCTTGCAAGTGAGACAAAGGAAGTACTGCTTACGTCGGCGAGAGAGACAGCCGACGTCGATCGTGCGGTGAGGGAGGTGGACGGCATGACGAAGAAGTCTTGAGGGGCGCAGTCAGTCGGAAAAGACCGAGGGCAGGATCCCTACCGACGAAGGAGCGCGAGGGCGAGAGAGAAGCCCAGAAGCCACTTCGTCAGCAGCCCCGCGACGCATCTCCGAGTGGTTCTGAACGTGCGAAGGTCCAACAGCCTAACAAAGGTCCCAGGCATGTCTCGCAGCTGTGCATTTTTTTGCATGAGAAATAATCTTCATCCCACGAAGGATAAATTTGAAGATGATGGCGGATTATGTCACGTCTGCGAGATCACCTTTACACCCTTTGCACCAGGCGACAAGTGAACGTGGAACGACAGGTAAACCAACGACATAGCTCCATCCTACCGTGTTTGCAAACGTGTTGAACTAGTATAACATCATGCATCTGTGAGTAACGGGGGTGTCCGTCCCCTCCTTCACATCCCAACGCCCTCCTGCAGTCCGAATTTCTGCGGCCAGGAAATACACACATTTTTGGGAATGTGAGGTGACTGCAAGGTCATACTCATGTCTTTGGCTCTTCTTCTTTTACCGACCTTTTAGGCCTGACAACGGATCTTTTTCCCTTGCGTGCCCACAGACCTGTAACAAAATACTGAACTACATATACTAAAAAAAGCGGATGCGGACATTTAAAAAAAAAGGGTAATGATGGTTTTAAAAACATGAAAAAATGAAAGAAATTGTTTTAGTAAGAGTTAGATATCAAAGCGGATGATTTAGTTGATAGAAATGTCGATGGTCAAAGGCATCTTGAGCATAAAACAAAGAAAAAGAAAAGCAAATAGACAAAAAAAAAGACTTTTAGCAGGAGATGAATATAATACGATGATTTTATTGATTCAAAAGTAAATTATAGTATATAGGAAGAAACGCATAGTAAAAAAAAAAAACAATTGCAGTATATATAAAAAAGAAAAATATAAGATGAAAAATTATATCAAAAGAATCTAGTAAGAAAAATTAAAACAAAACATGAAAAGGGCAAAACAATATTATAAAAAAAATAGATAAAGAAAGAATGTAGTTCAAGCATCAAGAAAAAGCCTTAATAAAAAAAATTCTAGTATGAAAAAGTCAAACAAAATATAAAAACGGAACAACATAAAAAAAAATCAACAAACAAAGAATGTAGTATGAACGACTTACCAAATCCTTTAGTGCTTCTTCTCCTCGTGTTTTCTTGACTCCCGGACCGCACACGCTGCAGAAGCATAGACAGCATGGAGGGTTTCCTCGAGGACAAGCCGGAACCCACGCGAGACCTGATGGACTTGGCACTTGAGGCTTTCTTCTTCAGGGGACTCGCCCTTTCCTCTTCGTCTGTTGGTGGAATGGTCAGGTTTAGAAAGTAGGGATTTTTTCCTTTCCTTTCTTTTCTTTCTTTCTTTCTCTTTCTTTNCTCGCCTCACGTCCTCCCCTCCCCTCACCTCCACTCCTCACCTCTTCTCCCATCTCCTCTTCCCTTTCTCATCCCACCTCCCATTCCTCTTCTTCATCCCATCCCTTCCCTTCCTCCTCCTCATCCCCATCCCATCCCCTCACTCCATTCTCGCCCTCACCATCTCACCTCCTACCTCACTCCTCCTCCCTCCTCCTCCTCCCTCCTCCCTCCAACCACCCCTCACTCACCGGCAAACTAGCCTCGTCCTCGCCATCCTCCTCCTCGACCAGCGGCAAGAAATCCTGCTCCTCGTCGGGCACTTGTATGTGGTACGTGGATCCCTGCGGCGCCACCTTCCGGAATTGTTCAGCGGCGACGGTGTAGGGCAGCTCTTGGGGGAAGATTTCGTCCCAGTACATGTCCTGGATGAGGTCGGGGTGCTCGCTGTGCATCTCGTCCACGATGAGGTACGATACCTGGAAAATAATTATATTTTAGTTTATTTTTAGGGGCATCTCGTCACGATGAGGTACGATACCTGGAAAAAATATTTTTTAGTTTATTTTTAGGTACAGTTCGTCCATGATGAGGTGCAATACCAGGAATTCTTTTTATTTTAGTTTAGGATTTTTTTTTTTTTTTTTTTTTTTAGTTTATTTTTAGGTGCAGTTCGTCCATTATGAGGTACGATACCTGGAAGGGTTTTTTAAGAAATTATTTCATTTTTAGTTTATGTTTTGGTGCATTTCGTCCACTTTGAGTTTTTTTTTAAGAAATGGTTTTATTTTAGTTTATTTTTAGGTGCATTTCGTCCACGATGAGGTGCGATACCTTTAATTTTTTTTTTTTTTTTTTTTAAGAAATCATTTTGTTATATTTCCTTATTCTAGTTTAGTTTTTAGGTCTAAGTAGTGAACTTTTATGAAATCATTTGTTCAATTTTAGGTGCATTTCGTCCACTATGATCCGATACCTAGATTTTTTTTTTTAAGAAATAATTTTATTACTGGATCTCATTTTAGTTTATTTTTAGGTCTAGGTAATTATTAATTTTAAAAAGGGGAAGATTCCGTCCCAGTACATGTATTAGATGATTTTATTCCAGTACATGTCTTGAAGTCTGGATGCTCAGGATTTAAGTTTTTTTAAAGTGATTTATATCAAATTATTAGTTTATTAAATGTTACTTGATATCTATTATATGAAATCAATGCGGATGCTTAATAACTGTTTTTTTTTCTTTCTTTCTTTAATTACATTCAGCCTTCAATAAATAATACGATTAGATCATTATTTGCTTCACAATTTCGTGTAAAGCGGATTGCAATAATCAAAATATTATAGAAAATGAACCAATTCAGATATAAGTCATATCAAATACATTCTAATTATAATAGGAAATCATATCCAATAAATACAGAAAATTATCAAGAGATAAATAGAATAGATATAATAAATACATAAGTAAATAAACAAATAGATAAATAAACAAACAAATAGATAAATAAATATACAAGTAGATAAATAAATAAACAAAGATAAATAGATAAATGAATAGATAAATAAATAAACAAATAGATAAATAAATAAACAAATTGATAAATAAATAAACAAATAGATAAATGAATAAATAGATAGATAAACAAATAGATAAATAAAAAACAAATAGATAATAAAACAAATAGATAGATAAATAACAAATAAACAATATATAAAAATATAGAAATAGATAAATAAAATACATAAACAAATAAACAAATAGATAAATAAACAAACACGCTACTCAATCACTCAATCACCTAATCAACCAACCAAAATACAAAACAAACAGACATCCAAACAGACAAAAAAAACCCAACCAAACCCCCCAAAAAAACACCCTTACCTGCAGATTCCTATCCACCAGCCAATTGATTTCAAAATCGTCATCATCTTCACCAAAGGGATTCACCAGCGTCTCGGCGACCTTCAACCAGCCCATGTAGAAGAAAAACTGCAAGTAGGTGAAGACGGGCACGTAGAAGTCGATGTCGTGGTCTGGGATCTGCAGCTTCGGGTCCAGGAACTGCCTGCCCATGACCGTGCCCAGGCAGAAGGAGTAGACCGCTAAGGTGACGACCTGTTGACAGGTGGGAGGGAGGAGGGAAGGATGAGAGAAAATAAGAGGGGTGTGTTGGTTGGAGAGTTTTGGTTTGTTTGAGGGGGTGGGGAGGGTGTTGGGGAGGAGGGGGGAGGGATGGAGGAGGGGTGGGGGAGGGATGGAGGGGGGGGTGGGGGAGGAGAGTGGGAGGGGAAGGGAAAGGAGGAGAGAGGGAGAGGGGAAGGGAGAAGGGAGGGAGGAGAGAGGAGGAGTCGGAGAGAGAGAGAGGGAGAGGGAGGAAAGAGGAGGAGAGGAGGAAGGGAAGAGAGATGGGTAAGGGAGGAGCATCAGAGTGGGGAGAGGAAGGAGAGAGGGAGAGGGGAAAAGGAGGAGAGAGGGGAGGGGAGGAGAGAGGAGGAGAGGGGAGGGGAGAAGGGAGGAGAAGAAGAGAAGAGGATGGAGGGAAGAAGGGAGGGTGGGAGAAGAGAAGAGGAGGAGCAGGGGAAGGTTGGAACAAGGGATTATGATATGGAGGAAAGGAGAAGGAGCAGGATATGGAAGAAGACGTAGAAAGAGGAAGAGGAGAAGAATAAGGAGGGTTGGGAGGTGAATGAGGAGAAAGGAGAAAGAAGGGAACTGGAGGAAGAGGAGGAGAGAACGTGTCAGGAAACAGAGGGAGGAAGCAGGAGAGAAGGAAAGTGTTTATCCATCTGTACCGAAAGGAGAGGAGGAGATGGAGGAAGATGAGTAAAGGAAGAGAGGAGGAGCAGGAAAAATTATAGGTGGATGAGAAAAAGGAAAAGGGAAGGGAAAGTGTGGACACGTTACGGTGTTTGCAATTTTGTTTATCTATGTATGTAACTATGTATGTATGTATTATTGATGTATGTATGTATGTACTATGTAGGTGTATATGTGTATATGTATGTATATATGTACGATGCATGTGTGTGTATGTGTAAGTATGTATGTAAATGTGTATGTACTATATACAAATCATATACAAACTATACATAGGTATGGTGCACAAATATACAAACACAAACACACAAACATACCCTCGAGCGGAAGGAGAAACCCCCACAGAGCATACCTGCGTGTACACCAAAGGTATGCTTATCGTATCGTAACTCAACAGCCGCCCACACTTTCCACGCACGCTGTTTATCTCGTCGACCAGCGTCTTGACCGCGAAGTCGTCTCGGATCCGGCCCTCCTTCCGCGCCCGCCACGACGCTGCCCGCCCACACGAGGGGCATCCAGTACTTGGGGTGGCTCGCCTTCTCGTCCAGGTCATCGAAGATCTTCTTCTCGTTCTCCGTCATGAAGCCTTTTTTTTTTTTTTTTTTTGGGGGGGCGGAGATGAAGAGGTTATGTTTTGTTGTTTTTTTATAGTGATTGTGTGTGTATGTTATTTAATCTATAATCTATATCTCTTATATATATGTATTATATTATATATAATATATATATTAATATATACACACACACACACTCACACACACACACACACACACACACACACACACACACACATCACACACACACACAACACACACACCACACACACACATACACACACACACACACCACCACACACACACACACACACACACACACACACACACACACACACACACACACACACACACACACACACACACATATATCGTGTGTGTGTGTTACACACACATATATATAATATATATATAATATATATATATAATATATATATATACATTCTTATATACATTCTCATATACACATAAATATGTACTTATAATATATATACATTTATGTATATGTAATGACACTAATGAACATTAAGGAAGACTACCGAGAAAGTCAAATGATTACAAAAGATAACAGCATAAAAATTATTATCCTCATACCTACTCCAACAAGACGAAAATAACATAAACAAAAATTTATCCAAACAGCAACCTCAACCCAAACCTATTTCAACCAACGCTCTCAACCTCAAAAAAAAAATCAATACACACGACAGCTTCACCTCCCCCCCCCCCTCTTTTTAACAAGATTATAACCCCTCCATGAATGAGAATTAAGGTACTGCCTCACTAGCACTTTTTTCGTCAATTTTTTTTTACAATTTTCTTAAATTTTCTCCAATTTTGAGCGAATTGTCGATTTTCCAATCAGACGATAATGATCGTTTCCGTCTGAAAACCTTTCCGTCAACTTTTCCAGCCAAGCAAAGTCAAATCAAGAGCCATATTCGAGAAAGTTTGTATTCATGTCAACCTTTCCGTCAACTTTTCCAGCCAAGCAAAGTCAAACCAAGATCCACATTCGAGAAAGCGTGTATTCATGTCAAACAAAATCATCAAAAAATTGACGGAAAAAAGTGCTAGCGTGACACGGCCTTTATACGTAATGGTCACAAAAACGACCACCACTCCCTACCGGTCTCAACGAGGTGCTCTCTCGTGGGGAACCTCTTCTTGACTGCCGGCGAGATCATGGTGAAGGTAATTAGCATGGAAAGGTTGGCGTAGCGCAGAATCGTCCTTCTCATTAACTTGCTGCGTTTGTCCTGAAATGGCAAGGGTATGTATAGGATGTGCTGCGCATGTGTGTGTTAATCTGATCAAAATAAAGAGGTGTGTATATGATATGATGTGATATGTGTGTGTGTGTGTTATATATATATATATATATATATATAATATAATATATATTATATATATATATATATATATTATATAATGCGTGTGTGTTTCTGTCTGGTGTTATTTACATACAGACACACTTTCACACAAAATTGATTGCATGTTTTATTTCGTAGATCAGTATCATCTGCGTTTTATCTTTCTTATTACACTTTGAGCAATATATTGAATATACGAAAAATAGTCGATAATCAAACACAGAAATCATGGGCGAATCACAAAGAAACAAACAAACCCGTAGATTTACAACAAAAATGATGATTAAATGTTTATCTAAAAGATTGTTTGTAAAGATAAGACTAACATTCCTTAGCGTAGATTAGATCAGCAAAACAAGCAAATTTATTTTAGAATTTCAAAAAAATATGAGAATACATTAATAACAAAAAACATGAAAACCAATAAAACAAAATATAGGGACGGTCATCAAAAAAACAAAACGGTTTTTCGAGCACAACACTGGTGGGCAAAAGATCAACAATGGCCGCAATCAGCTGTGAGAACGATGTCAACCTACCACAAATCTCTCGATTTAATTGCTAAAAACGTCATGATGATAAACTTATGTATTCTAAAGGTACAGAAAGCTTACCAGATCCTTTCTCTCTCTCTGATGGCTGGTCTGAAAGCCCTAGTGGTTGGTCCTATGTTAGTTTTGGTGATATTTATCTACCTAATACACACGCCGGGTAGTTACACAGAAGAGAGTTGAAAGCCTACAAATCACTCGAACTTTCAAGTATTTTCAAGTTTTAAAACAAAACAGGATAATGGAATTTGGTATTCAACATACGAAAAAAATCAGAATACAGCTATCTGTATTTGCTGGGCCATACTAATTGTTTGGTTGACCGACCTTTATACAAACACCTGGTGTTTACACATAAAAAGAATTAAAGGCCTACAAATCTCTGGAAGGGTACAAGTAAGGACTCAATGCTGCTTATAATAAGACTGGTTCGTAGTCGTAAGATTAAATTCTCTCATTCTTTCTTGCTCGCTCTTTGCCTTTTAGGCCTGGTTGCTCAAAAAAGGGGTGTTATCTATATTTGTCGGACGTAATAGCCAGACTTTTCTATAAGGTTAAATTTACATTCCCACGCAATACTCAACATGATACCTTGAAAAGATTTAAGCAAATTTCCTGAAGTTGTTGAGAAGGCAGTGTAGCAGTCATTAGATTTACTATCTTCACTTTGTTCCCATTTAATGTCTTCCGACCTTTGTTCAGGGAAAGTTTTAAAATCAAATTAACTGAAACTTAAAGTGAAAGAAGATACTCAATAGTAACCAGTCACCCACAACATCTACCACCGCCTAGGCCTATACCTAACCACGGAAAAATACATCCCCTAGAAAGAGTTATGACGATATAACATAACCGTTTAGATTTTAGAATACCTTTATAGAAAAGCTATCGTACGTACCATTAGCACAAACTCTTACATCACTCCCAGGTGCAGGATCAAAGTTCTTGCGATTGATAGCCAAAGCCTCCATTTCTCGGGGTCTTTCGGAAAGCAATTATAACTCAAAAGTTGAACCTTTTTGCTGTCCATTTGCACATCCAATAATTATGCAACTGTTTACCATGTCGAAGTTTCTTAGAAAAGGGTGAAAAAGGATGCGAATCTTATATAAATCGAAGAAAAGGGACGATGTTCGCGACAGACCAATACTTAATGAAGTATTTTTGTTGTTTTTGCCCACCACTGCCTCCGAGTGATCACGTGACAGTTCTGGTGACGTCACGATAACCGTCTCTTCTTCTAAAAGTAAACACAAACCAAAGACATCTACCAAAAAAAAAAAACAAACACACCAAGAAAGCAAATAAACAAACAACACAAATGACATTAGAAAAATAAACAAATAATAACATCCCTACCTCAAAAAAAAACTTTTTAACTATACATCATATTATCATACAATAAATCATACATTTTTTTTTAAATTACAAAATATTATACACATGCCCCATATCATAATCATAAAATAAATCACAAAAAAAATCCTACAACACTATACACACACACCATACCACAATCATACAACAAATCCTAAAACAAAACAAAAATAAACGAACATGCAAAAAAAAATCCCAAACATTATACACATGCTCCTCTCCCTACGTGTCCATGGATGCAAGGCGACGCAAAGACAGACAAGGAATCTGGCCAAGGAATCGTCTTGTACTGGTCCCACAACATACAACAAATCCCAAAACAAAACAAAAATAAACGAACATGCAAAAAAAAATCCCCAAACATTATACACATGCTCCCTCTCTCCTTACATGGCCATGGATGCAAGTCGAAGCGAAGACGGACAGGGAATCTGGCCAAGGAATCGTCTTGTACTGGTCCCACCAACGCTGGATGACGATGTTGACGTAAAACCCGAGGACGAAGGAAACGGGAATCAAGTCGACGAAGCGCTGGCAGTGGATCGTTAGCTTCTCGAATTTTCTGGAATGGAAATGAGGTGTGTGAGTTGGCGTGGGGTGTGTGGGAGGGGTG